CATAAGTATGTCGAAGAAACTCGTTTCCACTTATATATTTTTAGATGTAAGACCTCAACTGTAATATTCAGTGTTTTTCTGAGGTTTAAAAACAAGAAGGACTTGAAATAGTGCTGTTGCCAGTTAAGGACAGATGAATTAAGTCCTAATATTTATTTATTTATTGTGTAAAAGTTATTTACACAAACTTTCCTTTGCAACATTAAAGAAGAAAGCTTTATATTTAGTTTTTGATTCAGTAAATAAAAATCCATGGATTAATTAAAATAAAATAAAATAGAAAATTAGTAGATATATTAAATGAAACTAGAGAATAACACAATTGCAGCAATTTTATATTTTTGAGCGTGCTCGCAGCTCATTTTAGCTTCCAAACTTAGCCTTATGGGGAGCATGCGCTCTGATGATTATAGACAAAGTAAAGTCGTTCGATACTCAGGGACCAAAGAGATTCAGAAGATACAGTATGACAGTCAGGGACAATCTTTGCGTTTTCTGGTGCTGAAACGATGCTTCCATTGACTGAGAATGGTAGTGATAATATCTGTTTTGCTGATATTTTCGGACGGGTTATTGTCGTGGTAGATTTGTCTAGGGGATTAAGATTTAAGTATCAGGGCAACCTCAACAATCAATCAACCTACAAAGAATTTAAACCATTACACACTGCTACCGATGTAAATACTCAAATACTGATATGCGACAGCTCAAACAATGTAGTCCACATCACGGACAGTGATGGTAATTTATTTGTTATATAAATTACCCTTGCGCTGGAGGATTGAGTATACATGTAGATACTGACCATCATCTTGTTACTGGAGACAAAAGGACTGGAAATATTCTAATAATAAATTATCTCGACAAATAGACTACCTGATTGTTTGTGAAATGACATGAAATTTGATACTCTTAACTGTCATATATACATTTTCTGAGTACAAGTAACTTTACTTGTCATGATAAATATTCCTTTTTTTTACTGTAACATCTGGTGCATATATTATTAACAAAATTTAATAAGAACATGTTACTAACTAATAATTATGCAACCTTTTCTGATTTAAATCATTGAAAAATGGACCTAGTGCATGAAGAGTATTTTAAAAGATATATAGTAAAAGGTAATTAGACTGAAATAATTCTGAATCATGTAATGAAGATGTGAATATTCCAAAGAACGAACGTTTTTATAGATAAATGTATCAAGAAAAAAAAATCCATGTAATGGTGTATATAAATGGACGAACTCAAAAGAACTCAGACCAGTGTCTGTAAATATAAGAATGATTCTTCACAATGGAATTGTTTCGGGTTTTTTTATGTTGAAGACAATTTCCTTTACCTGAAAAGTGCTGATAAGAATTTCCCGATGCCTGATTTAAAATTTACTCGTCCCGTGAAACACTTTGTACGTTGACATAAAAGGCGTTAAAATAGTATTAAAATGCAAAAAAAAAAAAAAAAAAAAAAGAAAAGAAAAACAAAAAAACAAAAGCAGCCAAAATTTCCGAGCACTTTTCCGGTAGCTGGGAGAAAAGCCATGTGTCTTAAGATTATCATTTATAGATAAGCGGATAACTTTATGTTTCCAATATTTATGAAAAAATAACTGTATAGGTTTATGAAAAAGAGCGTTAGTATTGTTTTAAATCGAGGAAATAGGATCAAAAAGTCTCTTTCATGCTATATACACGTATACCCTTGTGTACACAAATATTAACTTGAATGGAATTAATATGGATGTGGTCAACATGAATTTTTTTTTCATGTTCTTTTTTTTTTAAGTATAACTTAGATGCTAGCTAGGTTTCTTTGAAATCCATAATTGTATAATGTACGAAAGCACTGTTAAAAAGTCAAATGACAAGCCAAGGAGGGGGGTCCATCTTTACATTAGCCAGAACAACTATTTTTTAAAAAAATTGACACTTAAATTTGGGAATACGAGTATTTCAATAGGACCTTCTAGCTCAAATCAATCATTCATTTCATGTGGCAAGAATTCTCACAAACAAACATTCTATCAATTTGAACTTGAAGCGAGGAATTGTGCGAATGATAAAGTTCTCAACACATGATATTAAAGAAAATAGAAATACAACATGTGTTTACAGAACAATGATGAAGTAATAAGTCCTAAAATATATATTGTAAATTTTCTGTAATGACGTCCAATATCTAGCATCGGATTACTGATCACTATTTCAGTAACATTCTGATTCTGAAAATACTGTCGATTATGTACAAGCCCGAAATCATGATTTTTTTTTTATAAACTAAAGCCTTTAAAAGAACTAAACCGAATGTCTGAGTGTATCTGCCAGTTTGGATCTAAAAGCTGTTACTTCCTCATCGTCCCCATCCTCCGGGAATTCTATGTACGATTTTGATTCGATCAAATCCATGAATGAAAATGGTAATTTTTTCATTACGTCTTTCTCTAGCGCAACCAAAAACAAAATATTTTCACCGTTTCGGGAATAGATTGCCTCCATGCGTGCCATGTTTAGTTCAAACATGCACCAGTATGAATCTAGAAAATGTGACGTAATAATACAGAAGGTTTTCCTGCTATTATGAATGGCATTGGTGATATTGTCTGCTATCCCTGTTCCCGGGATGAAATCACGTTGATGTATACACAACCTTAAATTGAATTCCCTTTCCAAGTGCTTCACGAGGTTGATGACAAATATTCTGTCGTCATCAGCATAAGAAACGAATGCATCAAAGTGATACGAAGCGTTTGGTAGGGCATCTGGTCTGTGAACATTAATTTTATAATTTTCTCTCGCCACATAATACATATACCTCAGTTTCCATCTATATCTGTAAAGAATACGGCTAATGGTGGTTGTCAAGACAACGATTGTTAATGACGTCATGATGACGATAATAAGAGTGTACGAGGAACACTGTTTTTCCAACATCTGAAGACGGTTTTCGATCTCTGAGAATGGAATTCCTGAGGAATTTGAAGAAGAGCACACATATTCATCCAAATGAAGAAAATTAATATTCTTTGAACTTATAATCCATTTCACAAAATCCAAGTTCTCACAGTTGCATCTCAGTTCGTTGCCCTTCAAGTTCAATGACAGAATGTTCTTTTGGGAAATTGCATCTAACATGTCTCTGATTTCTCTACTCAAGGATGATATCTGGTTATTGGAGAGGTCAAGATGAGATAAATGATTCATGTGACTGACTGGCACTGTAAACTTACTCAATGAATTAAAACTGAGGTTAAGATTTTCCAGTTGTTTGAGGTTCCAAAATACTTTACTAGGAAGTCGTACAATTCTGTTTCGTGTTAGGTTTAAAGTTTTCAACATAAACAGATTCTGAAAAATTTCTCCCTCAACATCGTTTTCCAGATTCTCACCTAGAGCATTATTTGAAAGATCGATATAAGATAAATTTTTCAAATCTTTGAAAAACCCTGGCGAAATATAGCTACAAAAATTATTAGAGAAATCTGCATGAATGACACTTTCTATGCCGGTAATGGGACCATTTAGTTCATATATTATGTTGTTTTGAAAATAAACTCTTGACAGTTCAGGTGTTTTAATAGTTTTGAAAACGAAATTTTGGAGAGTCATTTTGTACAGATTATCGTGAAAATATAACGTTTTTAAGTTAGGTGGAAGAAAGACTGTTACATTTACTTGTGTAAGTAAAGGTAACTTTAATCGCTTTTTGACTGTCGTTTCCCCATGTTGGTTTTCTATTAAATTTGCACATTCCTGCTTTGTATCTTTGCAGCTTGTGGAAAAATCTTTAAGTCTTATTTGATGAAAGGAGGACTGAAAACTCGCATTGATGGTAATAATATTAGATAAGTCGCCGAATTCTAGCAGATAAAATCCAAAACTAAGTACGTTATTGGCTAGATTAAGATATTTTAGTGACTTTGGTAACTCGGTTAGAACACCCAATTCTAGGCTGTTGATTCGATTGGAAGCAAGGTTCAGTTCCTCTAAATGGGTATACTTCAGGAAAGTAATGTGACGTCTTTTAATAATGAAACTCACTCCATATGTACATTGTAGTTTCTCAAAATTTAAAACTCGAATAGAAGTAGAATTTCTTAAATCACTCGATATGTTGGCTATCACCTCCAAAGTCAGTTCCTGATTACCGGAAATGTCAAGATGAACTAAATTTGAAGAATTTGCAAAGGAACCCACTTCGATCACATGAAGCAAATTTTCCGAAATACTTAAATTTCTCAGACTACCATATCGGTTCAGTGTGTCTTCTGTTACGTTAACAATAAAATTTTTCGATACATCGAGATATAAAATGTTTACAGGAAGACTGATCGGAAAACTTGGGAGTCTGTTGTCAGCCAGATTGATTCCTATGACGTCACTGCTAAATGACGGTGCTGTCACCAGCTGGAGGCGTTTACAATTTGCCCATATTTGTCCCTTAATGTTATGACACACACAGAGTTGTTCTGACGAACAATCAAATGCATGCACTTGTAACAATGTGGTAATTGCAAAAAATCCCAGTCCGTTTAGTACAAATTTCACCATTCTACAATTATAAAATAAACAGACATATTGAATTGGGGTTTCATATATCATCTGAAGTGTGCTTAGAGCTCTAAGTTTAGAAAGGTAGTTTAGTTTTTTTTTTCTCTGCTTATCATTCACCCATCTAAAAATCATCTTGTAAATGTATTAGATCTAGCGCGTTAAATATTCGGCGGAAAGAACAAAGTACGGTATTGGCCAAAAAATGCTGGATGTCAGACCTGCTCCGTTCAAAACATTTTAAAGAGCTTAGAATTTTTAGAATTAAATGATATTTAATTTATATACCTCACTCAAAAGTATGTATTGGAAAAATAACGCTCAATGCTGTACCTTTAAAAACAGAACGTGGAGATTTTACGAAGAATTTTGACGCGACGTCATACGCCTAACGTGTAGTAAGCGTAATCTGAAAATCTTAACTTACTGTAAAAAAAAATGTAGATTAAAAATGTACACAAGAATGTTATGACAAGGTTAATCTCATTATACTTTATGAAGACAATATTGATGATTTCCAATAAAATATCTCTGAATTATGTACTGAAAAGGATTTAATTAAAGTAAATTAGCAGAAAATGAATGTAAATACATTATACAAAATTATGAATTAACAAGACCATTATTTATAAAGTTAGTCTTTGATAATTACGACTTGAATGTTGCAACAAATCAAGTGAAAATATACATGAAACAGAATAAAAAGTCAGAAAAATCTCCAGAGAAAAAAACCCCTCTGTTTACTTAAATAGAATTTTTTCGATTACAATTTCCAAAAAAAAAAAATAATAAAGGAGATAAAGAATTTTCAATCAAATTTTGTATATATATCATGTATTTATTACAATTTTTGAAATATCAAAATTGCATCTCCGAGGATGCTAAAGGAATAATTTTCGAGTTAACTCCCTTTGCAGCGGGTCATAGGTTCTTAAGCATAGAAATTACTTCAACATAAGCACACTGCAATTTCTGGGTCAATGCTGGTCATATCCTGCGTTGTATGGCGACGGGGCGACAACAGGGTACGGGGAGGGTGCAGCCATCGGGTGCATCACCGTCTGCTGAGAAGAAACCACGGTCGTACCACCTGAAATGTTGAAGATTTTTTTTTACTATATAAAACCTATGAGACTTGAAAAACGCCCAGCTGACTTTAAATGATAAAATAACAATAAGGTGATATAAGAGGTAGAAATCTGTAGATAATAACTTAATCACTATAGTAAAAATCTACATTGAAGGTATCAGCATATTAGAATTATTGTTATACGTATATGTATGCAATTTTTTTCCCATAAAATTTTAGAAATTTAAGCTTTGTTTAAAAATAAATAAATCAATTAATGAATTTAAGTAGCGAATTAACAATTTTTCACGTAGAAGTTTGCATGACTCTTTAACGGGATTATACTAATTTTACCTGTTGGTTGCCCTTGGATTATGACGGTTCCTCGACCACCCCTGCTCCTGCAACAGCAGATACAGCAACCCACGCACAGCGCAACAATGCCGATTACCACTATGATGGGTACCCACCTATGGGACAAGAAAGTAATGAAATAGTCAACTGCAGTAGTAATGCTATCTATTGATAGAAAATGCATGTAAACTTCAGAATCCGCCACGATAAACCGTATCTGTAACTTACAGCTAAGACCTTTGGATTATGACTCAATATCTTATCGGTTAAACCAAAGTTTTAGTTTCCCTGTTAAATTCACGTTTTCAGAACAAAAGCTTACTTTTAAGGGCAAAACAAAGATATTAATTTTAAAAAACCTATATAATTTCCTCTTAAACAAATTTTGCGCTGGTTTCCATGTCACCTGCTTGTGTGTATGCAAGTTGGATATAAACCTGATTTAGTTGCAGTGCAGACTTGCATATGATACCCTGTCCGTGCAAATTAGATATAGCTTTAAAAAAAAAAAAAAAAAAATTGTTAATTGATCGCACCTTTTCCGTGAACAATTTATATTGCAAATTAAATATATTTTTTATGGACATCTCATTAAAATTGGGACACGCCAGACTTTGAAGCATTGATTTATGAAACGATTTTCAAAATATAAGAACAAAATATATTTTTATTAAAGCATATGCTTACACAAAATCGCTGAACCACGCAGCACAAAACGGAAGTCGGTCTTCTTCCGGTGCCTGTAAGTAGCTCTCACTGCAGCAGTAAGTGGTCCCTAATGCTTTACAGCAATAGTCACTGCACCAGGTTTCTTTGGTATTACTGTTCAGGATATTGTATATTTTGCAGCACTCACCACATTCAACTTGTCCTATAACAAATAAAAAATGACTGTTCGAACCCTCTTTAACAGAATATTATTGAAAAAGAATATATTCAGTCATCTGAACTAACACATTTAAAGAATGCAAATTAACTCTGTAAGCTAGTAATTAGGGTCTAAAAATTAATGTAAAGTATTTAAACTTAAAAAAAAAACCCCAATCATATACCTGCATCACGAGTGTTAAAAACATTTTGATTAAAACATATTCAATAGAATATAAAATTTATATGAGGCATATCTAAAATATATGTTTCTTCCTGCTTTTACTGTACATGCAAAATGATCACAAGGTTATGTTTTGCTTTTATAAAAGATCGTAGCACATTCCGTCCTCTCCCAAAGGTACATGATTTCTTACAAGATTAAATTATAGAAGGACACTGTCATGTTTATTTATTAAGCCTGACTGGAAAGGGAAGGACAAAGAGGAAAGGTTGCTGCTAACTATCCTTTGCATTTCTACATCCTAATTTTTGAAAATCCTTAAAGTATAGCCTAATCTTCAACATTCCTTTCTAGGAAAATGGATCATACTTTCAGTTTTATTTTATTTTCTTTCCTAAAGGTGAATAAAAATGTTAAAGATAACGGACAGATCGATCTAAAAGAAATCTACCGGATTTGTCCGTTTAACGAATCAATACCCAGGTCTTACACGCCATGATTTTACTACTAGTATTGGAACTTCTAGGGTCCGTGTTTTATTCCACGTTCACAGATTTCTAAAAAAAAAAAAAAAAAGTTCGTACTCTGTTCCCACAGGCACCTGCCACTACTTATTTTTCTTTAAATAAGAAAAAAATACCCAATAATAAATAGGTAGGGGAATATATTTTTTTATTAGGAGAAAAATAAGTAACCTCAGGTGCCTGTGTCTGTTCCACAACTTTGACCTTTTTTTCATTCTTATAAGATAACCATTAGTGTGACATTCAGAAGATAAAGTCACCTTAAAATACTATAAACAAAGAGTACAAAATGTGCTCAGGAATAGATTATAGACTGTTCGTCTTAATGTCTTATTTGTAAAACTAACTTTTTCAGCCCGACTATTCCGCAATCTGAGCATCATTGCATTAATACTAACAAGAAAAAAGGGAGGTGGAGGACAAACAGAGAAGTAAAAAAGGGTGCGTGATGAATAAGGATGCATAGGGAAAGGAAAATAGGAGATGTAAAGGAATGGAAAGCAGACACGAGAGAAGATGAATCCCCACCCCGCCTCCATTTTCACTATAATCCGAGGATAAGTACGAGCTTTACACTACTCATAGACCTGTGCATCTCTGTGGTTAAAATTGTGGTTTTATATGTAAAAACACAGGCACGTAGCATCGTTTTTGAAAGTGGGGGGGGGCAACCAGAGAAATTTTTTGTTTACTTACCTGAAAATGTTGACAAGCAAAAAAAAAAAAAAAAAAAAAAAAACGGAAAATTTTAAAAGTTGCCCAAACTCGAAAATCCTATTTCGTGGGGGGTGGGGGGGGTGGGGGGGGGGGGGGGGGGGGGGGGGGTAGTGGCCAACTTTTTCAGACCCAAGTTACTTTCACTTCCAATTTTTTCCCTACAATTCCTTCTTTTCACTATACTATGGTTAAAAGTGGGGGGGGGGGCAACCATCCTTTCAATGAACATTTACTATAGTAAAAGTAATGTTGGAGAAAAAAGTGGGGGGGCCAGGCCCCCCCTGGCCCCCCCCTGATACTACGTCCCTGAAACATGAAGATGTACGTAAATCAATTAAACTTCTGAACAAAAAAAGTTTGCAGTTATAATTGTACGTTAAGAATTTATAGTGTATTCAAGGGGATAATTTATAAATATGTACGTACGTGTACGAAGACTGTAGAACGTTATGGAAGGGAATTACCGCCAAAATTCTATGTATCTTGCTTTTATTCTTATTCTGCCTACTTCTTTATGCTTTGTTATTATTGTAATTATATGTCACTTTATTGTTTTCGTATTCGTCTTTATTACATTTCACTTTGACTTTTATCCTTCTTCATTTTGCCCTTACTTCTATGTTGCTTTATTCATTTTACTTCCTTTTAAATCGATACAGTTTCTTAAATGATTATCTCAATTACATACGTGAATTCAATCACACAAAGAATGAAGCATATTCAATGAAGACGAATACAAGTTGTCAAAATTTAGTGCCGCATTATAACGCTAGGTGGCAGGGGTGTTCGCTACGAGTGTTGGTAAAACTAGGTCAGCAAACCCGGGCCGGGGTTATTTAAGATTTTTCAATTTTCTGCCTTAATACTTATTCAATCGAATATCTGAAGGCCGAATCCGATCACCCGATACAATGATGGAAACTCCATATAATATTTATTTTCTCTGGGCACACAGGAATAGCGGCCTCTTTTTTTCAGACATAACTTTACATACCGGTAATGTTCATTAAAAGTCCGACCCACTTGGGTCAAATAAGGTTAATGTAGTATAGTACATTTAAATTTGATACTATATATGAATTTGAATTTAACCCAAAACTCACACCGCCCCCTTAATATGATTTCATTGGCGTCGGAAGCAAATTGAAAATTGGGGCCGGGGGGGGGGGCTAAGCGTAAGAAATATTTTTTAGACCTTCAAAAAAAAAAAAAACATGACAAGCAAAATAAAAAGAGAGAGAGAGAGAAATGTTCTTTGTCCAAACACAAAATCCTATTTCGTGTGTGTATGGTGGTGATGGGTGTCAAATTACAGTGCCAATTTTTTGTTCAAAACACCACCACTTTCCACATTTTAAACCTATAGGCCTACTGCATCGTGTCCATGGAAAGGGGGGGGGGGCTAAACCTACGCAGTAATGTTCAATGTCTATACTAAGTTTAACTTTTGAAAAAAGTGGGGGCTAAGCCCTCTCCCCGGTTCCGATCGACGCCTATGTATATTCAAGTTTAGAAATTTCCTGGGGTTTTTTTTTTGTTTTGTTTTTTTTTTTTTGTTTTTTTTTTGTTTTTTTTTTTGCTTGTCAAGTTGTTTTCAGCGGATAGCTTGAATTTTCAAAATCGATGCTACGTCACTGTTCTCTCGCCTGAAAAATATCACTCTACTAAAGTTATTTGTTGGATAATTGAATTCCAGTATAACAGTTTAATTGACATAATAATGTTAAATATTTTGATACTAGATACCCCTTTATGAATTTATAAATAGAGTTGTTTTTCACGGCGTTCCCAGGCGTGGATCTAGGAAATGAAGTTAGATGGGGCGCCAAAAGTAAGCAAGGTGTCTGGGGGCCGCCTTGAGGCCCCCAGTGGGCCAAGGGCAAAGCCCTGGTGGGGGCTCAGGAGGCAAGACCCCCGGAAGCCCCTGGGTTCTAGAGATTTTGTAGAGTAAAAATTAGATCTACCAAGTAGGCATATTTACATTTTCTAGACGAGATTGTGATTTATGTTTACTTTGACAATTTTAGGGGGGGGGGGCGGGTGCGCCACCTCCCTAAACTGAACTTTATTTCACGACAGATAGTAATTGCTCATGCGTGTGATTCTAGGGACGGGTCTTTGCAAAGGAGTGAGAAGTGTTATGGGTAGGCAAAGTCGGAACCAGGGAACACCTTAGGCATACTAGAAACTCCCCAGTCTTTTTTATGCATTAATATTTTACATTGAAATAGCACTTTTTAATAAAGAAAAAAATATCTTTAGAACGCAACGTATTTTACATCAGCCAGTAGAGTTTCAAAAAATCTTAAAACTTGAAAATTCTGTATTTGGTGGTGGTGAAGGGGGGTGGGGGGGGGGGGGTCGTCACCTTGTTTTCAGTACCAAATATTACTCATATGTACATATGCCACTAAGTACATGTTTATAAATATGTTAATTGACTACATTGCATAGGCGTCGGAACCGGGGGGCAGACGCTGTAACGACAGTGCTACGCGGGCGATTGCACCCGGGGGGAGGGGCATCCACGGGACCGGGGGGGGGGGTATTCATTACCCATTTGTACTCGTGAAGATTATCTATGTCAAAATAAATGGTTAAAATAATTTAATTATTAACCACTATTAAAATGGTTTCATTTAAACATTTATTCATATGAGACGGATAACTTTCCTTCAAAAACTGAAAACGTTAGCATATAAACATTGTTTTACGATTAAAAAAATATTCGGGGGAGGGGTTGCTATTGCTATATACAGCCAGATTTCCCCACGGAAGGCTAGCTACATATTGACACTTCCCGGGGGGAGTCTCACTGTATAGTCTTCCGAAGGAAGCATCATAATGTCGTCATCGTTCCGGGAAAAACCTACCGTCTTCCGAGGAAATGGCATTATCTGGTACATACCTGAATTTATAACAAACATAATTTGAAAATTTAAGTTCGATTGATAAAGTATTAAGGCAGAAAATTGAAAAATCTTTAATAACCCCGGCCCGGGTTTGCTCCTATTTTTACCAACACTCGTATAGCGAACACCCTGCACCTAGCGTTATAATGCGGCCCTCAATTTGGACAACTTGCATTCGTCCTCATTCGGTGGTGGTTCAAAATTACGTTCGTAATCGAGATAATCAAGGGATAAAGTTGCCTTTAAGAAACAGTATCAACTTAAAAGAAAAATGAGAATGTATTCACAAGAATAAAGCAACATGAGAAGTATGAGGACAAAATAAAAAACAATAAAGCTCAAGTGTAATGTAATAAAGACGAATATGAAAACAATAAAGTGACATATAATTACAATGATAACAAAGCATAAAGAAGTAGGTAGAATAAGAATAAAAGGAAGATACATAGACTTTTGGCGGTAATTCCCTTCCATAATTACAAAGTTTGACATGCCATGTAAGACTTCCAAGTATTTCTCGTCATTTAATCATACAGAAAGTAAGTCTACTTCGATTTGTCTTAATGATTGACTTGGACTCAACAAAAATGACGAACGTCAGCTCCTGGTACATGTATGTCAAGAGAAAGAAAAAATTCTAACATAAACATTTCACCAGGTTCAGGATTGGTCTAATCAAAACGTCTTCTCACATATAAGA